ACATGCAAGTAAGAGTTCTTTCCAATTTTTTTTCTACCTCTTGGTAGCTATGATTTCTATGATTTGCATATTCAAAATGATATTTCATAAAGGCTGGGACTGTTGTGGGTGAGCTGCTTTGATATTTTTTCTATTTTTGGAACGGAGAATCGTTTTGATAGGAATATTTTAATTCAAAAAGGATTTCTTAGTAGGCTATATCACATTTTTGCAGAAGTCAACAATCATTCTTGGTGCTTTTGCATCTGTGATCAATGATCCCTGTGATGTGAGAATGAATTATTCTTTTAAACGCATTACTAGCAGTCCAAAGCCGAATTGCAGTACCAACATCGAAACAAGGGAAAATGAATATCCAAAAAATTGGATTTCAACATCACAGAAGTAGTTATTTAATTGGTTCTTTTCACATGAATTAGTTTCTAGAATAGTAAGAAAACGTTTTTCACCAACACAACACCAGCTTTCAAGAATTCCTAATCTGAAGTATGATCCGTGGCTATCGAGAGATAACAAGAAACCAGCGAAAACTTTCACTTCACGTTTCTAATGATGGTAACATGCTCCTCATTATATCCGGAACTTCTTAATGTGCACTGCGTAAGTTAATTGAGATTTGGCTCATTGCAATTGGGTCATGTTTTTATTGTGGATAGATATCATTTACTTGTCGGTCTGTGTGTGGAACAACTCACCTCTTCATTTTTGGCTTGTGCCCCAAGTTTGGTCAAAGGTGAAAAATATCTAATTAGGCCGTCGCTGGGTGCTCAGTTTCCGCGGGCAGTTTTGTAACCATACTATGGCTTGGGAGATATTTTTTGAAGAGCAGCATTTTGGCATTTGTAAAAGAGAATAGTCACGTAAGAGAAAGGTTGCAGAGCTTACATAAAATTTGATACAGGTTCGTTTTCAGGCGATAACCGCATGCGGTTTAAATTCGATTGAATGACTTAGCAGAGCTACCAAGTTGGATAGCTTGTATCGTTGCTGACAAATCGTCCGCGCATGAGGAATTGAACAGAAGCGATTTTGTGATGAACCATATTTGCCTCTGACGTACGCTATTAGGATATCACGGAATGTATTCCTAAAATCATCTAATCTATCAGTCTTAATAGCTGCTGTTCGAGCAAACATAGAAAAGTCAGGTATGTATATATGAGGAGTTTATGAAGAGAAGAACTTCTTTTTGCAAGTCTCTTTGCAGTACTTGACGCAAAGTCAGTACGCTTTCGCCTTTATTGCTTCTTTCGAGGTCATAGTCGGAAGATACCATTCTAAAGTCTTCAATTAATGACAACCGGCACGTTCGGTTAGTGATTAATATCCAGTCTGCGCTTATTTAGGTACTATTGCTGCCAGCCTTGTTAAGAAACAGAGTTGACCGAAAGAGCAAACGCGAATTTTGAAATTGACTTGGTTTAGCTATCAACTCTATCAATCGATGTTTGTTTGCTTAAATACCAGCGAATGTCCTGCCTTCACTTTAGTTGCTACAGTTATGACTGATAATCGGTCGGATTCACGCGAAAGGGATGATGTAAGCTCATCTCCTCCCCGTAGTTGCCAAGAATTGTTATAGCTTCCGTCTTCTTCCTCAGGAGGAAATTCCGCGCAGTGTCTACTTATTTTCAAAAAGATGCTCAGAACGTCATGAGGCGCCTCGGTAAGTTGGTAAAACATTGACAGAATTGGTAAAATCTTTTACAATGCAAAATTCGTCTTAGCTCCATCTACATTACTCCCGAAATGGAGAATCGAGTTGGTTTCTATATCTTTTCGAGTGGTTAGAAGAGAATCAATGAACTGCTATTCAGGGAATACGAAGAAGAACCAAGAGAGGATCCTTTACTGAGGCGAAATCGCATGATGAGGCAGCCATACGCGAAAGACGACGAAGCAAAAAGGTTCGATTTTGAGTTATTTAGGTCTGTGGCTTGAACTTCAAACTGCAAATTTTTTCTTAGAAAAAGAAGAAAAAACATCATAAGCATCATATAATTATAAAAGGCTCTAAATCGTACGAAAAGTCTCAAGGGCGATTGTCCCGGAAATTATCGAAATCTAAGAAGGTCAGCCTAAGCTTGTGTTTAGTATGT